GTACAGATACTACTGTTTAGAATGTCCTGATGCATCTCAGTAATCCAGGTAAGAAATCAAAAAGGAAAAAAATTGTATAGGTCCTCTAGACGGGTTCTTCTCTAATGAAATGTTTCGTCTCTCCTCCAAGAGACTTCTTCAGTCTGAGAGTTTCAGGCAAAATTCAGGCTTTTAAGCCCTGCCTCCATGTGACTGATACTCACATCACATGGCTATCGTTGACACCTAATTAACACCTATTGTTAACAGGGGGTGGAGTGATACTGGCAATGGCCACGCTGTAATTAGGTGTCAACGATAGCCATGTGATGTGAGTATCAGTCACATGGAGGCAGGGCTTAAAAGCCTGAATTTTGCCTGAAACTCTCAGAATGAAGAAGTCTCTTGGAGGAGAGACGAAACGTTTCATTAGAGAAGAACCCGTCCAGAAGACCTATACAATTTTTTTCTTTTTTAAACTAATTCAGGTAAAGAGTGAATGGGTGTCAAATATTTAACATTACTAAACAGTTAAATTAACTCAGAATCTGTGAGAATTATATAAAATCAGGAAAAGTGTTAAATTTAACACTCTGAGTTAAACTAACTTCTTGGATTTAGCTGTGAATATGTAATCTCCACTCAGAAAAGGCCTCACACTGGGAGGTGAACCTGTTAACTTGTGGCTGGGAGGCGGCAGCTCTACTGAAAGGTGGCGCCACCCTCAGAATGTGATCATTGGCTCTACATCAACAACTGATGCCTATTTTAAGTTAACTTCAGTCAAGATGGCCGCCACTACAAACCAACCTTTGCTAACAAAATAGTGTCCATCTAGGTGACTTGGCATTGATAAATAAAGAGATTTGTATTGATTTCAAAAGTTGAATTTGTCAAAACAAGTGTCTATAATTGGGGGAGTCATTTTATTTTGTTTCTATGTTTTAAAGATGCCCCTGTAGTTAAATTTTTAAGCCCAAAACCTGTGTCCTAATTTGAAGCCCCACTAACCTTTGACATATTTGTTGTCAGTTTCTATGGATTCACCAGTTTTATTATCATATGTGAAACATTTAACAGGAGTTACACAACTTGAGATAAAAATCTCCCTTACCTGCTGCACAGCCTTGTGAAAAACCACTTTGTGGTTTGAGAGAGGACTCGAACAAGAAAAGAACCTGTTTGACGAGATATCCAGGACACACCGTGAGAGACGTGAAGCATTACAAACATTTCTGAGCTCAGTGAGGATAGCCGCATTGTTGCTCTTTGCAATAATCCTCCAAATGTGGGACTCCAAATGTGTGAGTATATTTGTTTTTGTTTAAATTATTATTTTTCATGGTAACTGTATTGTCTTGATCAATTTTCTTATAGTCAAAATTAAAAAATGTAGCTGTACTCTTTAAAGAATCATGGGGTTTAGTGTCTGATTTTATTTTATGAAAAATACTGATTTTCCATCATGACCTGTGGTTTTTTTATATTGTTTTTATTTTAGTGTTTTGTTTTTGTAAATTCTGTTGATTTCTTGATGTTCCTTGTGTTTTTCCTGTTTCCTCCCAATGTGTTTATATTGCATTCACCCAGCTCAGTCAGTACTTTTCCTGGCTGCTCACCTGGCTCCATTTACCTGTTATCTGTTATCACCAGTCTACTTAAACTAGATTGTCAGTCGCTCAATAGTTGCCTGCCTCTTTCCCTTCTGTGTTTTGTTTTCTGTAAAAAAAAATTTATTTTATTGCATTTAGTCCTCGGGTCAGTCTGCATCCTTACATATTCTGTCATTTTTTGTACAACTGTATCCTTTGTGTTGACTGCAGGTTGAAGATGGAATTTGCTTGTAAATATGTTTATGTGCCTCCGTCACTGACTGTCCTGCAACCCAACACTAACGGGAAACGCTCAGGTATGCTTAAGTTAAATCATCTTAAAATGACACGTCACACCTCTGCGATCACTAGCTGTATGGCTCTCACACACACACGCACACACATACTGTATATATACAGTATGTTGAAACAGTATATACAGTATGTTGGAGTGCAACAATACTTGTACCCGTATCGAACCGTATCGAACAGTGCTTTAGGTTCAATATTGTCATATGCAGGTTAACAACAGTCAACAATGCAATGAAATTCTTAGGATGAGAGAAACCCTTCGACTCGCTATAAAGAATAAAAATAAAGACAATACAGAATACAAAATTTACAGTTTGCAGTAGATGCACAAAGAGTAAATAAACAAAAAATTACAGTAATATATACAGTATAAAGTCAAAATTTCAAAAAGCAAATAATAACTAAACAGCAAAGAAAACAACAACAAAATTTGGGTTACAGAAATAACAGAACAGTGCAGGCAGGATGCACAACATATACATATGGTATTTCACCAATGATAGCAGTGGTTATGATATGCATGTATTCTAGAATATGTGTATTGCACAGTTTGTGTAGCCGGTTATTGCACAGGTAAGAGTGACATGAGTCAGTCCCACTGAGCAGCAGCAATGGACTTATTTAGTATCTCAGATGTGGGTTGGAACAGTCTTTTTGGTGGGAGTTCAGTAATCTGACAGCTTGTGGGTAGTAACTGTCTCTTAGTCGTTTGTATGTATGTTTGTATGTGCTGGCAGGCTCTTGTAACGTCTGCCAGAGGGTATCAGACAAAAAAAGTCTCTGCGCTGGGTGGGTCCGGTCTTTAATGATGCTGCGTGTTTTACGCAGGCACCGGCTGTGGTAAATGTTCTGGATGGTGGGGAGACTGTTACCGGTGATGTCCTCAGTTGTTCGCACTACCCTCTGTAGTGCTTTCCGGCTTTGACTGGTGCAGTTCCCATATCACACTGTGATGCTGCTCATCAGCAGGCTCTCAATAGTGCACCTGTAGATGTTTTTGAGGATGCTGGTGTTCATACCAAACTTCCTCAATTTTCTTAGGAAGTAGAGTCTTTGTCTGGCTTTTTCGATCACGGTGTCTGCATGTAATGTCCAGGTTAAATCCTCAGTGATGTGAATGCCATGGAACTTAAAGCTGCTGACCTGCTCCACCTCAGAGTTGTTTATATAGATGGGGGAATGCTGGCCTCCCTGCTGTCTCCTGAAGTCCACTATCATCTCCTTAGTTTTGCTGACGTTCAGTGAGAGGTTATTTTCCTGACACCAGCTGGTCAGTAATTCCACCTCATCTCTGTAGGCGGCTCGTCGTTGTCAGGGATGAGGCCCAAGATGGTGTCGTCGTCAACATACTTGAAGATGACGTTTGAGCTGTGCCTGGCAGCACAGTCGTGTGTGAAGAGGGAGTACAGCAGTGGACTGAGGACACATCCCTGAGGTGTACCAGTGCTGAAGACCAGTGTGGAAGAGAGGTGGCCGCCAATTCTCACTGCCTGTGGTCCTTTGGTGAGGAAGTCCAATATCCAGCAGGAGATGGATTTCTCCAGACCCAGAGCTGTGAGCTTGGAGACCAGTTTGGGGGGGATTATGGTGTTGAATGCTGAGCTGTAGTCAATGAAGAGCATTCTCACATAGATGTTTTTCTTCTCCAAATGGCTGAGGGAGGTGTGAATTGCTAGAGCCATAGCGTCGTCTGTGGACCTGTTTGTTCTGTTTGCAAACTGTAGCGGGTCCAGGGTTTCAGGGAAGGAGGCACAGATTGTCTTGATGATTTGCTCAAAGCACTTCATGATGACAGATGTGAGTGCAATGGGCCTAAAGTCATTTGGACAGGATGCTGCAGTGGTCTTTGGGACGGAGACAACAGTGGAGGTCTTGAAGATGGTGTGTACAATAGACTGGTTCAGAGACAAGTTAAATATCATAGTGAACTCCTCAGTGAGTTGATTAGCGCACGCTCTTAGCACCCGTCCTGGGATGCCATTGGGTCATGGTGCCTTGTGGGGTTTACTCTCCCGTCTGACTGTAGCAGTGTCAATGTGGAGTGTTGTGTCCTTACTGTCCACTTGTGGCCTGGTGATGGGTGTGGTGTTCTCTGCATCAAACCGAGCATAGAATGTGTTGAGCTCATTCGGGAATGATGCACTGGACAGCTCAACAGGCCTGTTTTTACCCTGTGATACAGCGCAATCCATGCCATGTGCGCTTCGGGTCATTACTTTTTTGTGCAGACGCCACGCTCTCTCTGGATTCCCTTTGAGAAGTCCTGATGGTCTCTCTGAGGTCATACTTGACTGCTTTGTAGGCTTCGGGGTCTCCAGATTTAAAGGAAATGGTCCGTGCTTGAAGTTTAGTACGAACCTGTGGTCCCGCCCATAGTTTATGGTTAGGGTAGGTCCAGATGGAGGTTTTAGGCATGTTATCAATGCGCTTCCCTATGTAGCCTGTGACAGAGTCAGTGTATGCATTGATGCCACTATCAGCTGATTCTGCAAACATTTGCCAATCAGTTGTTTCAAAGCAGTCCTGTAGAGCCTCATCAGCCATATTGTCCCACTTGTAAATAATCTTCAAACCAGTTTTTCCTGTTTGAGTCTTTGTTTGTAAACAGGGAGCAGCACAGCCCTGTGGTCTGCTTTATCAAAGGCAGGGCGGAGGGGGAGTTTGTAACTATCTTTGAATGGGGTGTAACAATGGTCCAGTATCTGCTACCCCCTGGTTGGGAGTGATATGTGTTGGTAGAATTTTGGCAAAACCGCTTTCACGTTGGCTCAATTGAAGTCCCCCAAAACAATGAAAGCAGCATTAGGATATGTATTTTCAACAGAGTTGTAAAGTGTCTAAGTACAAATACTTTGGTACTGTTCTTAAGTAGAATTTTTGGGTAACTGTACTTTACTTGAGTAATTTATTTTCAGCCTACTTTTTACTGCTACTTCTTACATTTTCCCACAATTATCTCTACTTTCTACTTACATTTTTAAAAAAAGGCAAGAAGTAGAAAGTTGTTACTTTTATTTCATTTTTGCTTGTTTTTATTCCAGCTTGTTACTGTAAAAAATAAATACTATCCACATAAATTGTGCCTCCTAGATAGAGTGAATTTAATTGTGGTTGAATGAGATGTATAAATACATAAAATTCTGATACTGTATTAGTTTGTACACAAACAAATCATATTATACTCCAGCAGGACATAAACATTAAAATAAAAGGACTGTACTTAAGAAGTATTTGTGTTTCATGAATTATTTTTGCATTTGGCCGCAGCCCTCAGATAGATTTTCATTTTGGAGTGTAGGGGTCACCTCGAGTGAAGAAACAAGATTTACTGCCTCGAAGCAGGCCTCACACAGGCCTGACGAGARGACAGGAACTCTGTCACAAACTGAACTCTATTTAGACCATGACAGGTCATTATAACCTAGGAGAATTTCTCAGTTGTCTTAATCAGATAATGGACAGAACAATCTTTTCTGTTCATGATTCATTTGTTGTTTAACTAAGAATGTTTATGCATTTGTTAAATCATGATAATGACTGTCACAAGAAAGTGGAACCACTTCTTCTCTTTTATCGTGCCTAAAAGATTAATTAATGGTATAAAAAAATCACAGAGAAAATCATTACAATGTTTTCATTGTGTTTTTATGTAAATCACTGTTTTTATTTTACTGTGAACATGGTAATATAATTGTGGATTTTTCTTGAGAAAATCTTTCATTTATCTGGACTAACAGAATGGTTCAAACTGATTATAAAACAGAAATGTTAATTAATCATCATAAATGTTTTGCGGTGATTTCTCTTAGAGTCCATCAGATGGAAAGCTAAAGAAATGTTATCATATTCTGTTGTGACAACCACAGAATTTAACCTTGACTGGTACCTGGCTGGCAAGTCTTTATCTTTCTTCCTTTCTCTGACTCATCTTACGCCTGAGGGCGGAACCAAAGTCGTCCGTTTCTATTACTAACACGGATGCCTTTGAGTGACACAATCTTCTTCCTGGATGCCAAACTAGGAAGGAAGGCTGAGTTTCTCTCCGGAGAAGCCAGTTTGGCTCGTTAAGTCTTGCCCATGAGCTAACTAGGGGGATCTAACAGCTGGGACAGMGGCACRCCAGCCGGATGTCCCACCCCGAGGCTTCAAGCCTCCCAAGTGTGTTTTTAACTCCCGAGGGTAGATTTTATTTTGAAAGAAGGAACCGGATGTACAGCTTGAACCTTTCTGGCTTGGACTGAAACAGACGAAAAGTTACCTGAAATAACACCTTTCTCTCCAAGGAACAGTGAGCGAGCCGATTAAAAAGTTCCCTGACTGATCGGAGGTGAGACAGTTGCTACCCAGGGGTCGCTTAAGAAGCCATCACCAGGTAAAACTGACGTGTTCCGGGTGACGTGTCATGTGGAAACTGAGCGCAGAAGGGACGTGCTGATCCGGTTGGACACACTCTTTGATAAAGTAACATTAGTAGCAATACTAACCTTACTTTCATCCTTTTCTTTGTTCTTTATTTGCCAAAACTTAAGCTGAACGTGCCAGTAAAATTGTTTGGTTGTAACATCAGAACTGACGTTTTACTGTTCTATATAAGTAATCTGAGTTGATGTGAATTAAAATTCGGACGTGAGTTTTCATCTCATTTAGCTTTGAAGCTTGTGATAGGAATAACCACAGTCAAGTGTACTTATGATTTGTTCAATTTGTGTAAATAAATGATTGCATAGTCTTAATGAATCAACTTGAACTCGTCTGAACGTTCACTTATTGTGTCACTTTTCACTTCGCACAGTCAAGATATTAAAAGTAATGAGAAAATACCTTGGTAAAACTTTCCTCATAACCTTGTTTATGAGAGATATAGGAAAAGCTTAATTCACCCTAAGCTCTCTCCCCTACAGGAGAAAATGTTTGTACAGCCTTGACATATGTATATAAACTGAAACAGCTGGACCAGTGCATCCTAAATTTAACATGAATTAATTATTTTAATACAATATAGTCATTTCTGCATTTTTTTGGGAAGGTCACCGCCTAATAAAAGTCCTTACAGAAAATCTAACTGCTCATTTTAAATCAATACTTTTACTTTTAATACTTAAGTACAAAAAAATCAGATACTTTGATGGTGCGTTCACACCGAACGCGATTTCAGCGTCAGGAGCAGCAGGTTTACATACAAAGTCTATGGTGGACGCRCTTCAAGCAACGTCGGGAAGTTCTGCGGCGCCTCAAGCGCGATTAGAGCAGCGCGATTTGGACGATTTGGACGATCTGAGCGTCGAACGCTCAGATCGTCCAAATCGCTGAAGTTGGGAAATCTGAACTTTTGCAGCTCGATGCGCAGCGTCAACCAATCATAGAGACTCCACTGTGTGACGTAGCGACATATTTCCCGACGGGACAGTTTACTGAATGATGTCCACTAACCTGAAACAGACAGAGCTCCTGCTCTTTAGCTGAAATGAGTGCTGCAGTCGTGTCCTGATCCGCACCAATGCGTGGCAGCGACTCATCAGACTGAAAAAAATAGTCCTGAAAGAAGCTCAGAGCCTCTTCTCTGAATTATCTGGTGAATTAATTATGAATTAATTATCTGATGAACGTGACACGTTCTGGCTGTCTGTAAATAAAGCAAAGCCACTTCCTCGTCCGACATTAAACAGAGCCCGACAGAGGAGGGAGGGGCGGGGCGGCTGTCGCCGTGCAGCGCAGCTGTCCTGCGTCTGACCTCAAAGTGCACAAGCTTCAAACTTCAGCGTTGGCTGCGATTTTGACGCTGAAATCGCGTTCGGTGTGAACGCACCATAAGACTTTTACTCAAGTAATATTCCTAAAGGAGACTTTAACTTTTACCAAAATAATTTTTTGGTAAGATACTTGTACTTTTACTCAAGTATCACTTTGTGGTACTTTATAAAACTCTGATTTTCAAGTCCGTTAATAATCTCATACAGCTCATCCAGGGCTTGGGTTTTAGCAGCCTGGGGTGGGATGTGAATCACTGATCACTGAGCTGAATTCTCTAGGCAGATAAAAAGGCCTGACCTTAATGGTGAGTAACTCTAAAGCTGGTGTGCAGTGAGTATTTAAAATATGTGTATCTGTTGCCCAGAAAGAGTTAACCATCAAGCACACACCCCCTCTGCAAGACTTGCCTGAGTCCTCAGTTCTGTCGAGCCGGTAGATAGAGAAGCTGCCCGGGGTTACAGCACAGTCGGGGATGGACGGCTCTGGCCGTGTTTATGTAAAGGCAAAAACACAGATATYCCTTGTATCCCGTTCATAATAAATCCATGAGYGCAGGTCATCCAGCTTGTTCCTCAGAGACTGAGTGTTTGCAAGCAGAATTGTGGGGAAAGGGATTTTGCTGCATCTGGTGCGGGTCCTGCACAGGACACCGCACCAGATAACACTTTATTTGAAGGGGTGTACTGACATCCCAYTGTCATTAACATGACATAACACCTGTCATGAACATGAAGGAGGCTTCATGAACGTTTATGACTGTTTTCATTAAGTGTCATTCAGTAAATTATGACACGCTYAATGTGAAGTTGACATTGTTTAAAATGTCTTGGTCACAATGTCTTATCACAACTTAACATTGGTATGATATGATGTATATACTAATATGGAAATGTCAAGAGATACTTTTTTATTGTATTTACAGAGTCATGTGATCGTATCATACCGTATGATTTCTTGGTTAATGTCAGTTCGTCATAACTGAGACATTGTTGGTATCAGCCACTTCTTCAAGCTGCTGATAGTACATGCCATGCAGGAGTTTATTTTTGCATGATGTTTCCTCTTGTTACTCTTCTTCCACAACGGGTTTCTGATGTTTGAGACATTCACCTGTCAGCTGATCACTGGGGCTGTCCTGATGATCTCAGGTTTACAYCCTGTAGTGGCTCAGAAGCTCACTAGTCTTTTGCCTCCCAGTCTCAGGGTGCTGGACTTTACTTTGGTTCGACTATTGCACCTGCTGGGTATCTGATGACTGGCTCTGTATATGTGTTTATGGCTTGGACTTTGTTCCTGAATTCAAATCCTGATTCAAAAAAATCTATYAAGGAAGTACAAAGCTGTTAGTGTTTATTCAAATAATTAATTGGAAAGACTGATGACTAATAGTTGTGTAAAGATACATGCAGTTTTGTTTTCTTTGGTTTTTTTCCCCATCAAAGCTTCCTGACAAACTGGTTGGTAAAGTAGGATCAGGTATTTTATTGTGAGTGACTTTCCTGTTTCGTCAGACATTGTTTAGATAATTTATTTTTAAACACTTGACTGTGTTCAGCCACATGCCACCCAAGTCTTGTTCTCTTGTCAAGTGTGAAGGTTATGTAACACCAAGTTAGTCTGTACTCACATTTTTCTGAATTGTGAAAAAATAAATAAGTAAAACATTTGTGGAACCCTGGCAGAAATTGTTTTCATTTACATTTAAAGTTTAAAAACTCACATTCATATCAAATTTATACTTGATTTGAAGCCTAGCATTTCTTGAGAAAGAAGAACTGATTCCTGCCATTTATACCAGAGCTTAAACTACGRTAAACTAGGATCATTGCATGAGATGGGACAATTTGATCAAACCTTAAACATAATATTAYGTGTTGTGAATGTGAGTGACTCTCGGCTACTAGCACATCAAATTCTAGTCTAATATTTGTAAAATTAGCAGCCCATTTATAGTTGCTATAAAAGCTTTGCTGTAGCAGCCATTTTAAATARAATTTGCACCATAGATTAATGTCTTAAAGAAATCCATCCAATGATTACTTTCTATTACTCTCTATATAAAACACTGCTGTAAGTTTTATTTTTGTATTTTTTTAGCTCTCCTCCCTCCTGTTACCTGGGTTCGTCCTCTTTATGCCCCTCCTCCACCTCCAGCAGATTCTGCAAAAGCCACTAAAGAAGAGGAACCCCACATTTATGAAACCAAGATCGACTTTTTTGAAAAGAATGAAGAGGCGAAGGCCACGAAGTCCACGTTCCACTATGAAAATTCTGAATTTCTAAAGAAATCAGAGGCACCTTCTTCCAAAAGTGTTTTTTATCTGCCGACACCAGTTCATCAAAAGCCAGGTATGGATGACATAATGTTATACCCATGACTGTACAGYTGAGCAAGTTCCATTATACTTTTATAATATCTGAATCTGCTCTAAAGAGAAGCACGTAAGGTTTGGTTTACATTAGACCTCTTTCATTTATCATACTTTTGAGCCAACAACATGCTCTTCCTCTAAGATGTAATCAATACATAAAAAAAGGCTAATAAGAAATGTTTGCTTATTGTTCAGAGGAGAATAATCTGTCGCACTGAAGAATAACGGACGACAATTTTATAACCTGACAAGACCTAGAAAATGTTTGTTTCTTGACACATTAATCTTGGCATTGAATAGGTGTGCACTTTTAGTCATGACTGTAAATGTCAGCAGAACATTTRTCAGCCCTTTTTACTGTCTCATTTTTGAAACTCCTGGTGAATTTATTATAATATTTACATAAGAGCACATTCTCTGATATTCCTAGCTTCTTTTTCTAGACAGATGGTAATCTCTGCAAAAAATTAGAACATTTGCACATCAAAAATATCTAAACAAAATTGTAGGTTTTGTGCAAATAGAGTTACTGTGACATAGACAAATAGAGGAAAGCCAGGACCATAAAATGAGGCATTTCAGGGGCTGTGAGTTGATGTAACAACTCTAAATGGTGTCGAGCTTTGCAACTCTGTGCAAAAATGAACACTAACGCTAAAAGCTTAACAAGAATAAGAAGACAAAAATAGAGTATGGATGCTTGAAAACAARCAATGTTAAAAAGTTACAAAAAGCTGAAATAATAGCACACCATTAGTGCTAAATGTCTTTAAATTAATCAAAACACAAAGTATGCAGAAGTATGTTTGGAACAAGTGGAACATCTTCACACAGGACTAGAAGTTTTAAATGTAACTCTGTTATTGTCTATTTTAAAGCAGCCCTTCTTCCACCACATAAGAAACCTGCAGCAAATACTGTTTTTTATGTGAGTTCCAAYGACACCAACAACGAGTCGCTCAAATGCGATGAGCCGAAACAAGAACTGGATCCAAGCTACAGCCGCATCGTACCAGAAGGCTCAGGTGGAGAAGCGAAACTACCGGCTAATGCTGAACCTGTGTCCACTTCAGGTAAGAAAAAAAAATGTTTTTTTATTTTTTTTATTTGGTTACCATTATTTTCTTTGTGTTGACATTGCAAACTGCTTCCACTCCCAATATTTATTCCAAGTCTTTTGTGTTTAGAACTAATACCAATTTATTTGGAGGTGTTGCCCTCATCCAATCTATCCGCCTCATGCTCTCAGTCAGTTCCTTCACCCACGCCAACTGCCCCATCATCTATATTTAAAGGTAATTACAACAGTATGGGTCAGGGTTTTGTTTTGTTTTTTAAGAAAATGAAAAGCACATTATTTTTCATTCATGTTTTATTCCTAATTTAGCGAAACAAAACAAGAAGCCACTGCCAGGAAATCCCAATGTGATCCTTGTCAGTTTAGGAAAACTGCTCTCAGAGGAAAAAGGTTGGCAACCTGATCAATATAAAGTCTTTAGTTTGATTTTTAAAACTACTTTTTCTTGTGGTGATCATTGCATATGAATATATATATTTTAGTGCAAGTCATACAAAGAAATCCTGCCTCTTGCTCCAACTGTGGCTCGGTGTTGGACAGCTGCTGTGACAATAAGGTAATGCATCATATTTCACATTTTCGCCTCATTTTTGCCACGAGGAAGGAGCAATGATGAATGATAAATTCTGACTTGATGACTGTTTTGTTTTGTAGACGATTAAGGTGTGCTACTTCTGTCAGACCAAGGATTCGACCAGTTCTGCTAAGCCAGCCAAGGGTTCTGGAAACATTCACCGGGATGAGGTCTTCCTGCTGAACCCTGGTGTACAGACCTCGTGTGCTGCGGAGACCCTGCTGATCTTCTGCATCGACACATCAGGATCCATGAACTTCACATCCGATGTACGGCAACAAAACCTAAACTCTTCTCTTGGCATCTTCTGTTAGCATTTTAAAAAACATTTTAAAAAACTTTCTAATGTCTTTAATCTTTACCAGGTGCCAAATAGAAATAGTGACACAGCCAGGCTCCAGGTAAAAAAAATTCCCTTTTTAATGTTGCTTTAACAGAAATTTGAAAATTACTTTCAACAAAACTGAAAACGCTGTTTTAAAGAAACACTTAAAAACTGAAAATACAGACACAAATAAATGCATTCGTGTCGTTTTGTTAAACTCAAACCTGATGACCGTTGTTTTTTTTTTTGTTTACAAGATTATACAAACACTTTTATTCACATTTGCATTTCCCTTGTGTGCAATATTACAACAAGAGGACTGTGCAAAAGTGTAAAACAATCAAAATTTTTATTTTAATTTACCTAAAGGAGCCAGAATTTCTTCTATTGCATGATTTCATGGGGGTGGGGGGGTATTTTCTAGTAAAAGTGCCAAAATATCCCATTTAAATTTGGTTCGATATCAGCTTTTCGGTCACGTTTGAATAGGTTCTTTTCCACAATCACAATGTTTATCAGAAACATTTGTCACACAAAGACGGAAGGTTTGAAGAACTATTGATCAAGATTGCTTTAAATGATTAACTGGACACCACTTTTCTTTATGGAGCACCTTCCAAGTAAAGACATATTTCAAAGGGCTTTACGAGACAAAACAACAGAAAGTCTGCCCATTACTTTTGCACAGTACTGTATTTAGTGACGAGTTGGTGACAATGATTGTTTTCACACCAGTTTGTCCAAGAAGCCGTACTACGTTGTGTCCAGAGACTGAGTGAACAACAACCTGACGTCCGGGTGGGACTCATCACCTTCAGCTCTCAGGTACAAGTATCTTATTTCTACACATTATCTTTATGATTCTTTCAATATCTGATGGTTTCACCTATCATTAACTTTATTCACCTCCTCACTGACTCCAGGTGATGATACACGGGCATGAGAAATGTAACTCCCTCCTTCTGAGCGGCGATGAGCTGAACGACAGCGAATACTTGAAGGAGGCAGCAGCCGCTTTTCCCAGTCCACCTCCACTTTCACAAACCAAAGAATACTTACAGAGACAAGTCATGGGGTGAGCAGCAGAGGTTTATGTAACTAAGCACATTAACTTCGTTACAGTACTTAAGTAGTTTTTTTTTTGAGGATTTGTAGTTATACCAATTTTTTAAACAGCTTTAACTTTTATTTCATTATATTTTAAAGCTAAAAAATGATACTTTTACTTCTTTACTTTAAAATGTAACACCTAGTTACTCATTACAAAATTAAATATGTTTGAACTCATCATGAAATAAGATGTTTCTGTACTCTAAAAAAATGAAGTGTTGAATTTACTCAACAAAGTCAGGTCAGCTGGCTCCACTAAGATTAGTTGAGTAAATTGAACAAAGAATATACATATATTGCTCAATTTACTCAATCTGGTTTTAGTGGAACCAGTTTGGTTCCGTAAGTTCAACAGTTTATTTCTTAGAGAGTGTGTAAAAGTACTTTTACTTTTATTTTCCCAATTTTTATGAACAGTTTTATGACTTTTACTTGAGTAGTTTTCTCATCAGTGAAATTTATTTTTACCAAAGTCATTTTCTGTTCATGTAATTTTACTTTTACTTACCGTATTTATTCAAGTGTAATACATAGAATTAAATCTATAAAATCATCCATAAAGTTGGGGGGTAGTACTATACTCGGATAAATATTTTTACTTATGTATTTTAACTGAAATATCGGCTTCATGCACAAAATGCATGAGTTCTTAAATGAGACCACGTCGTAAAAAGCAGTTGAAACGAGCTTACCCCTGACACTCCTCCGTGCTTCAGAGCGAGATAATAACAGATCCAGGCAGGAGACATGATGTGAAAAAAGGGGGGGAAGAGCAGTCCTGCACCTTAGTAATGATAACGAACTAATGACRTTAACGTGTGACCGGGTCGCTCCTCTAACAACAACAAACACATGTTCTTCTGTAATGGCTGCCGTCTACCGATGTTCTGAAAAAGTTTGTATGCCTGAAAAAACGTTTCCCCACCAGAGGGGGCGCTCGCGAGTAGGAAGTAATCTGCTTTTTCCCCACAAGATGGCCGAAATCTCATGTGTCTCTGACTTTTGTGTTGGCGCATCCTGGTGGACTATGTGTAAAATGCCAGAATTCATATGATGCTCAAAATCATAGTTTGCTGATATAATTTTTTTTGTCAAAATACCTTTTAGTACATATGTTGTTAAAATAAAATGAACAGTCCAATGATCATTTTACTGATATGTATAAAGACTGCAAAGGCTGAAAAATCTTGAAGTCTGCATGAAATTGGAGGTAGTTTGAGGATTAAATTTTTTTATGCCTTTTAAGCTCAAAAAAAGGTGGGGGTCATGTTATATACATGAGATTGTATTATGCATGAATAAATACGGTTGTTTTTTTTTCAAGTATACGTGAGCAGTAGTGAATGCTCCCATGTTTGTTTTCTTTACATGATTATGTTGGCATTTAAACTCATTGCATAAGTTTAGGTTTATTTCCTTTGTTTGGTTGACAGTTTATCTGCAAATGGACACACAGCTCTGGGTCCAGCTGCTCTCCTCGCAATCACAATGGCCTCCAGACATCCAGGCTCAAAGGTACATGTGGCTGAGCCTCAATTTAATGTCTGTTTCATCACACTGACAGCTGTGACTTGTTTTAAATGGACCTACACACACCCAAAAAATGTAAAAAAATAAGATGTATAACCTCCCTAAAAAACTTGACACAATAACAGCTGTAATATTTGAAAGCATACTTRCAGTAGAGCTGTAGTAATTTCTGCAAACGTCTGTGATGAGCATTCATTTTTAAAAAAATGTAAAATCCTGATTTGCTATCCCTGCTGATTTTGAAGGTGATTATCTGTACAGACGGGAAAGCCAACACTAAGCTGGGGAATCTAGAGGTGGAAGACGACATTTTCACCCTCCTCTCATCCACCATCTTCTACCAGGACCTGGGAGAGGCTGCTGCTAATCAGGGGTTCGTACAGATACTCRAATCCTTCCAAACCAGACAGTGAATCCACTTACAGACACGGCAGTTTAGACACGTAAAGCAGTGGTTTTCCACCAGTGAGGAGAAGAATTGTGTGATGTAAAAATGCACAGTGATGAAGGTCATTTTGAAATGTCCTTGTCTCCTCAGCGTGACAGTGTCTGTGCTGTCCATAGAAGGAACAGACTGCAGGCTGGATGAGCTGGGACGACTCGCTGACCGCACCAGAGGGAAAGTAAGGGCCTGATGATTTGTTTCTTCTGATTAGTCATAAAGTATGTACAACCCTAATAGACCATTTCATAGTTATCTATGCGCATGGCATTGTGGGTAGGGGTCAGTTGGTAAAAACAAACTTGCATTGCTGTTAAATTTGACAGTTATGACTGCATTTTTTTAGGTTTATATAAAACATATATAAATATATATAT